TGAATTCAAGTTCAAACTCATACAGACTGGTCCACCATTGCCCTCCCTTAACAACATGCTGAAAATTCTACTGAAATAGCAGGGCATCTACTGGAACTACTATACTGCCTCTAACACTGAGCTAAACTTCCATGCTTCTTTAAAATTAATAGTTTATTTACCTAATTTAGTTTGTGTAACTATCTGCCTTGATACAAAGACTTATGTTTCTTCAAAGTTAAGTCACAGAGCTGGAGAGATGTCTCAGCTATTCAGAGGACATGAGTTCAGTTCCCAGCACTCACATTAGGTGGCTCACAAAACCTGTACTCCAGCTCCAGGACATCTGGCTTCTCTGACTCTTCCAGCCACTGGGAGCACCTGTACTAATTCACACAAAACCTGTCCATCATGCCCACAACACACATGCACGAACGCACACACACACACAATTTAAAATAATACAAATAAATCTTTCTCAAAAATGAGTCACACACAGTCTAAGGCAGTAGAATGACTTTCTTTTTAAGAAATTTTATGGCTACAATATGAAAAGGCTCAAATGTTGCATTGTCTCAATACAACATCTAGCTTTAATGACAGTAATGCCTGACTTCCCTAAAATCAAAGACTCCATACATTCATGATTCCAGAAATAATCCCAGAATCAGTCAGGGGTATCTTATACAAACTGAAAATTTGCTCATATTATAAGGAAAGCTTCTTCAATAAAACTTATTTCAGCAAATTACATATTCCAATGATCACTTTTGCATTTTAAGTATTTTTTTAAAGGAAGCTATGCTCTTTGAAGAGTTGTTAAATTTTTTTTCTATTTTAAGATCTAAAACTTTGAAAAAATACTGAGACTAAAAAAGTTCTTGACAAAATAATAAATACACTGCATTCAGGCACCGTGTCATCCTAAAGTTTTGTTTTCTTTCCAGTTTTTTACAGTATATACTGCTATCTACTGAGACCATTTGTATTTATTCTTACCCTTTTCTCCATCTTATTTCTCCTCCTACAAAATAGTGCAAATAATTTTTAAAAAGTACAAAGCTCAGGCACCACTAGGATAAAGACATGGTTGGAATACTGAGTTCTAGAAGAACTGAAGCTACAGGTAGAAATGATACAAGCATGTGATGCCAGCCCTCGGGAAGCCAAGGATAGACTTCAATGAAAGCTGGCAAGAGCTACAGTTAAGGACCTTGCCTCTTAACAAACAATGGTATTTCTACAATAAAAACATGATTTTAGCTTAAGAAAATCATTAAATAACTACTAGGAGAATAATTTAGAACAACATTATGAATTTTTAAACAGCATTTTGGCCTCATCAGAAAATTACAAGCAAAATGGTCTATTTGCCAATAATTATTTCTTTTCTAATCATTTCCCACAGTAAAAGTTTAAAGAAACATTAAGCCAAATGAGCCAATATTTACTAAATAAACCACAATGTTTTAAGACTTTAGTACTCAAAATATTTAATTTTATGTAATTAAAAAACCTCCTAAAATACTTACTAGACAATTTGATTAATCCCTCAGGAAATTAAGTATATTAAAAACCACTGAACCCTGATTACATAATTCCTTACAGGGGTCAATACCACCTTATGATTTTGTTTGTACTATGCTGTTTCTATTTTTAGTAGTTTCTAAGAAGGACTAGTTCAAACACTCACCCTTTCTTTCATGAAAACTTTAAATCTATGAGTCACCAAGGTCTAATGCACCACCTTCCACTAATTCAAGGAGATAAGACAAAAACCTTGAACTTCATTCAGTGCAACTGTGGTATCCCACATCTTGTATAGTAACACAAAAGTAGCAACAAAGACATTAACAATTGCAGTTCAAGCTGGGAGTGACTGCTCTGTTTCAATTCAATGACACCACTAATGGCTTCTTAGCAGCTCCATGAAATCAACCAGCTGTCAAGTTGATGCATCAGAAGGAGCAGCTATGCACTCCCATAAGAAAAAGCAACACATCAGGATGTTTGGCAAAACATCTGCTCCTTTACACTGCAATTCTATAACAAACATGCAAACAAAGAAATAGAGAAAGGGAAATAGAATCAGAAACCCAAGCTTTCCATTACAGCTTATATGTATTTTAAATGTGTGGCTAAAAACAAATTTCTGCAAAGTTCAATACTTTTTAAAATATTCTGGAATATTCTGTTTTCTGGAAAAGCAAAAAATACACTTACATTCTTCCAAAAAGAGCAGCATTACACAAAATATTTACATTTATAAATAGCAAACTATATTCGTCAAGTCAGTATATGTACAAAAAAATTCAAATATCAAAATTAAAACACATCCCTTCACTCCATACTGTTTAGTAAATGAGAGCAGACAGCATTGTACTCAATGCATTTCCCAAGACTGAGCAGCTAAGATACCATTTTTCACTAGTAAAAAAAGTGAATGCACAAGCTAACATAGTCAATGTTATTAGTTTAACCCACAACAGTGCAGATACTATTATCTAGATTTAAAAATATGTACCTATCCTTATTTCTCTGGAAACCATTATATGAACATAGTAAGTTCTTATAAATTCTTGTTTTAAAAGCATACAATCTGATATCCTAAAAAAAAAATTCTTTGTCATCGTAGCTTTAGAAAATTTTACATTTAACATTTGCTTCAAATACTTGTAAAATCTTACTTTTCTACTGAAGCACACAAATTTGTAATGCCATCTAAATTATTGATTGTGCCGCAGTGTTTACAATAGGTGTGAGACATCACCGTACTTAACTACCATTTTCTTAAACTGCTTATCCTCTGTTGCTTCCATTTATAATCTGCCAAATCTTCTGGTCCTTTGTTGCATGTATAATTTAGAACCATCTGTTCTATGTGCTTTTAACTATTTAAACATTTTTCACCTACCTACAATTCATTAAATAGCAGACATTCAATTCAGTCAAGATTTCTATGTAACATTTTACATATAGCAAATTTCTGGATAAGTAACAGAAGACAGCAAAGAATATAGTTACAGAAATGTAAAACATACCATTCACAATGTAAAATTTCACACATTAGAAAATCTTAATGCATTTAGAATTTTTTCTATTAGCTTTTTTTTTAAGTTCACTGTAGCAATGTTTTTTCCCCAACACAGAAGACAAAGGGAATGCAAATTAAATACAGACAGTTTCATGTCCTTGTTAGAAGAGATGTAAATATGCTGACTGAAAATGACTACTGGAGACAGAATTACACTTTCCCATTCAATTTACTGTGCCTATTTATATACTCCTCACTGAGTGTATCATTAAGTGAGGTCATGTGACCAGCTCAACTTTTTTTTGTAAGGTGAAAAACTATTTTAGAGAAAATTTAATAGTACTTTTTAATCATTTTTATGATGGTTGATAAAGTTTACAGGAAAAGAGTACAAATTATCTTTTAAAGTTAATTCTGCCTTTTATATGCTAAACTACGGTTTTTTTGCTAACATTTTTGACTTTAATATTTACTACTAAAAGCATCAAGAGTCTCATGATATTCTGAATAGGTCTTTTAAAATTAAAAAAAAAAAAACAAAAACAAAAACACGAAAGATTAGTACAATTACAAAAGGGAAGGTACATAACCCAAGATACGTAAATATCAACTAAACTAAATTTGTTAAATCTATGATACCACATAAGAAAAGAAATATATTGGTACAAACACATTTGACAATTTAAATAAAATCTGAATGCTCAGAATTAGGTGAATATTAAGTGGCACAATAAAAGTTCCGATAATTTTTAAAAATAATCTTCCTATTGCTACCAAACATTTAATGTACGGATTTTGCGATGCGTTCTGAATGCAAAATAAAAAAAATAAACCAATAATTTATCAGTAGGCTCTAAGTTACACGATTCCATAAAACGAGAAAAAAATGAGGAAAACACAAAACAAAACACACACACACACACACACTTTGGGGAAATTTTCTTGATAAAGTTTACATGACGTCACATGGCCCCCTGAACCGTTCCTAAACTTTGAGCCTTATCCAGACACACTGTTTGCATTTCTATGGCTTCTTTACCTTCCTCAAAAATTAAAAGAGAGAGAGACAGACTTGGGAATAAAAATTGCCCAAGATGGCGAAACGCTTGTTGTTTAGAGGACAGGGGGAAAAATGGAGGATATTGTAATATACACAAAGGGATAAATTTCAACAACTCGGCCACGGGCTGCAGCTGCTTCTCTCTTTACAAGGAAACAACACACAAAAGATAAATACCGAGGAGGGAGAGGGGCAGAGGAGCCAGCCCCCACCCCCAGGGCCGGCTCCGAGTCTCCGCACACTTCCTAGCCTTCCCAGATCCCAATTCTGGGGTTCGCCGAACTACTTTAGGGGAGGGGAGTGGGGCGTCGCGGGGGAGGGCGCGGGGACCGAGTGCAGGGAGGCCAGCCCGCCGCGGCGGGACCTGCTGGCCAGGCCGCCGGGGACCCGGGACGCGGGGAGCCCGCTCGACCCGGTCTGCCAGGTTCCCGGCGCCCGGGGCCGCAGCCCCACCCCCACCCGGCTCCGGAGACCCGGCGGCCTGGCGCGGGCCGGCGGCGCGGGCGCGAGGCTGCGGGCCGGGGGCGGAGGCGGGCAGGGCCCTGGCCTCGCCAACCGCCCCGCGGGGCGTCGCAGCGGGCCGGGCAGGAGAACGCCGCGAGGCCGGCGGCGAGGGCGGCTGGCACAATGGAGGGACGAGGCCCGGCCGCCCGGTCCCGCGCCCGCACTCCCAGCAAAGTTTCCGTTCCGCCGAGCCCGCACCCCCACCCCGCCCGGGACCAGGTCCCTGCGCCCTGCGCCCAACGCCCGGAACTCTACTCGGGACCCCAGAGCCACCGCGGCGTCGCTGCCCGCACAACAAAGGGACACACCAGGCGGCGCGGGTAAACAGCGGCGGGCGCCTCGGGAAGGCTCCAGCCCGCAGCCGCCGCTCTCCGCCCGGATCCCACCTCTCCCGCACCCCCGCACCCTGGCTCTCAAACTCACCTTCACTTTCGAACTGAGTTGCGGTGGAAGGGATTTTCGCCCTTCCCGGGTGCAGATTAAGCTTTTCGGAATCCCCACCGCCTCCTTATTTCTCTTATAATTTCTGCAAGAAAGTCTAGGGAGTTGGAGTGGAGGTGAGATCCGTGATCGCGAAAGCCCTGGTTCCCTCCGTCCCCGTCTTCCGCCGCTCGCTCTCTGATTAGTTCCTATCCAGCAGCAGATTGAAGCAGATGATTCTTCTCAAGGTTTGTTCAGCAGCTTCACTTCTAGGCGAAGGCTTCATGAACCAAGTGACGTCAACCAACAAGGCTTCTCTCTCTCTCCTCTCTCTAACAATGAAAGTTGCTGTTAACAAGGGGAAAAAGAGCGAGAGAATTGTTTATACCATTTCAGTTCCAATAATAAATGACCTATCAGCTCTAAAAGGAGCCAAGGGAGGGGGCTGCTTCTTCATTCCAAGAATACTGTATCTTTTGAGTTTGCACCGCTCCTGGTCCCAGGAAAAAGTTAAGAAACTTAAATGTTTTGTTTTGCTTTTCAAAGGGGGAGGGGGCAGAATTGAATATTTAAATTTTTTTTAAAAAACGTAAACCGACATTAAGGAACATAGATTAGCCATCTCCACCAACTTTTATGTTTGTAAACTAGAAATTATGTTGAGCCTACAAGCTAAATTAATGTGCCAAGAATTTGTGCATGCTAGGACTCAAAAACCAGAGCGCAAGGCGATCTCAAGGTATACCACTGTTTTTCCATGGAGTTAAACTGGTTGTAATATTTATGCTTTGAGTCAAAATTAAGATTCAAATTAAAGACATTCAAACAGAAAGTTCTTTTGCAGTTACTGGTATAAATTGTAAGCCGTAATCTCAATTTTTTTTTTCTAGTTTCTGTTAGGGGAAAAATACAAAACAAAGAACTAGTTTAACTGTAAGAACTAAAAACACTTTAAAAGACCAGTTGCCCATTACCAACTAAACACGCTGTGTACTATCTGATCCCCAGAATTTCAGCGAGCTGATTGAGTTTTTAACCTTCCACTCCCCAATTCCCTTCAACCAATCAAATTAAACCAAAGGTAAAGTGCAGCCCGTCCTCTTCAACAGTGTACCAGCAGCCTACTAAAAACGATTTAAAAAATTCATAACCATGATACACTTTATTACCCGGCAAGAAAGGTAATTTTTAAAAAATATTCATTAAGGTGTTTTACTCCCTTAAGAACACAATAAAGTCTTGAAGTTTATATAATTTCAAATTAGGTAATTTGGTTTTCAGGAAGAAGACCAAGTAAAAATTTAGTTATTGGAGAATAATTTGACCATATATTATTTTATGCATACATATGTGGCTAGATGTATCTTAAAAGATGCTATTGTTTTATGTTTCCTCCTCAACCACTGGCTGTGATTTTAATTGTGCTGGAGGATCTTCATTAGTATTAACACATGGGGAGATTTCACAAAGCTCCTTCATTAGGAAGAAAAAAAGCTGGCAGACTAGGTCTTTCTGCAAGCGCGGAGAATGTCAGCCTTACCTCGGTCATTTGTAACATAATAAGCGCAAGTACAATGATTGCAGGCAGGAGCCTGGGGGAGGGGCAGAGATACTGCCTGTCTAATAGGGGCATCTGAAAAGACGCTGCTCATTACATAGTAATGTATGCTAAAAATTAGTGAAGATGATGTCTCGGGAGACTGATGCTAAATAAATTAATGTGCTGATATGTTTTTAATTATTATTTTTGTAGTAGTTTATTTCAATCCTAGGATTCACATTGAGCAGCAAAGCTGTGCTAGCACTTATTGATTTTTTTTCCCTGCCACATTCCCGGAATACAGATTTTAATCATTTCACTACACCACACTCAGTAATTTCATTAAAAACTGGAATCTTCCATCCCCAGAAAAGCATTTAATTTCAATGACATACAATTTCTCTTTTAGCAGAAAACTGTCTCTATAGTAAAAGCTGGCCTAAGGTTCAAATGCATAATTTAATCCTGAGTTTTCCATGCCCTGCATTCATTTCCAACTATAATTTCAGTAACTACCTAATAACTGTAATAAAGACAATAATTTCCTTACAATATATTATTAACTCATATTTAATTAACTCGGAGGCCAAGCTTTAGACATGTATGACTAGGTCAACAATCCCACCATTTCAAAATTTACTAATAATGTCCACATGAAAAGCAGAATAAATGTAAATACGTGGACTATGATCCTAAATCAAATTCATACAAGTTCTTGTATTATTCTGGGATGGTGGTCATTACTCAAATGGAATTTAGCAATATTTCTGTACATAAAGTTCAATGTTGCTATTTTAGTAAATGTTACTGACACTTTGCCTAGTTAACATCGGTTTAGGATGATTTCCAGTTGTCTTCGTTTACTGAGTTGACTCAGGATGCAGTTCTCCTTAAATTCAGAGGAGTGGTGGACCATGACTTATACAGCCCAGAGTGTTAGTCTACTTAAAGTAAAATTTGGTCTATAGGTGCTAAGTTGGTCCCCAAATAATGGGTTTCATAAGGATATGTAATTTACATTGCTTGGCTTTTAGGGAAGAAAAACTCATGGGGGGAAAGTATAGTAACTTTTTTAATAATAAATTGTGGAAACATAGCTAATAAATATACATATAATCAATTAGTTACTGTAAAAGAGTATCATTCCTTTGGATGATTATGGAATCAGAGTTCAAAATGTCTTAAAAGTATGTACATGCAATTTAAGTTGATGCCACCAGCAACAAAAAGTAAAATGAGCCTTGTCATCCAGAAAAGATTTGAACACAAGAGTAAAGTGTTATAGTGAAGAATTTTACTTTTAATGTCTACTCAGAACATTTGAAAACTTATCAAGAGTTTTCTGTCTAATCTTGAAAATATTTTTGTGGCATTTTCAAAGACAAAGTTTGATGGAAATCAGTAAATGACACCCAAAATTATTATAAACAAATTTCTATATTTTCATATCAATAGTAAAAAACATTTTAATATTAAAATACATTTTGGGCCTTTCATATTATTTGGTCATTGAAATGAATTACTTATCCAACATAACCTATATATATTTTTTGTTTTGATTGTTTGAAACTCACAGTGATCCACCTGCCTCAGCCTCTGAGTGTGAGAATTAAAGATGTGGGCCACCACACCGGAACTTAGCCTCTATTTTTAAACTGATAGTTTAAAGTAATGATGTAATAGGAATCGTAAGGTGCATTACTATTACTCCAAGTACTTGACACCTTACAAAGCTATGCTTCATGTCTTGTTGAGATCATGTGGTTCCTTTTTCATGTTTACAAATTCAACCATTGATTAGTTCATAGAGCTGAGAAAAATCAAATAAAATTAGGTATACAATAAGTCAGCTTCCACAGCACTTTGTCTTCTGCTCAAGTTTAGCCCTAAACCATGTGCACAGTTGTGAGAGGATTTAATGATGGCGCCATCTTTCCTAATCTTATGATAATTCTGAACTTGTATGTACAATCTGCCTGCCCTACAGACTAATTATGCCACTACTGTGAACTAGTGCATGGTACTTGTTTCCATAAAGCAGCATCTGTTTTTAGGACCTAGGCAGACAGAGACATGGAGAGATCCAATTTACTACTGTGAATAAATATTGTCAGTGGTTCTCAAACAAGTAAGAATTCTGTTTGAGCAAAGAAAAACACTACAGCAGAGGTTCCCAGCCTGTGGGTTATGACCTCTCTGGGGTAGAATATCAGATATTTACTTTACTACTCATAAAAGTAGCAAAATAAGCCAATAAGCCAGGCAATTGTTGTACACTCCTTTAATCCCAGCACTCCAGAGGCAGAGGCAGGAGGCTCTCTGACTTCAAAGCTAGCCTGGTCTATAGGACAGGCTCCAAAACTATACAGAGAAACCCTGACTCAAAAAACAAAAATGAAAAGATAGATAGATGATAAATAATAAAATAAAGGATTTTATTTTTTGAGACAGGGTTTCTCTATATTTCTTTGGAGCTGGTGCTGGAACTAGCTCTTGTAGACCAGGAACTCACAGAGATCTCCCTGCATCACCACTGCCAGATTCAACAAAATAATTTTATGAGGAACTGTATTAAAGGTCAAAGGAAGCATCAAGAAGCTTGAGAACCACTGCTCTATATAGTGTGCTGAGCTGTCCAAAGTCATATCTTGATTCTGTCTCAATCACTAATGAAGCTTTATTTGTTTTCACTCATTGAACAAACATTTGAGTGCTTGCTGTATACTATGCACTGTGCTAGAAGCTGCAGAAATATGAAGAATTCACTTTCTGTTTGATGTTGTAAGTGTGGAATGCCTGGGAGACAAACCATTTTATAAAGACACAAATGACAAAGTTTTATGAGAATAAAAATGGAGTTATAGTTCTGACTACAAGACTTTCAAAAGCTTTATCAAAGATGACATTTGAAGCTGGGCGTTGGTGGCACACGCCTTTAATCCCAGAACTTGGGAAGCAGAGGCAGGCAGATCTTTGTGAGTTTGAGGCCAGCCTGGTCTACAGAGCTAGTTCCAGGACAGGGTCCAAAGGAAAACAGAGGAACCCTGTCTCAAACAAACAAAAAAAAAATTACATTTCTCATCCAGTAGTTTGGCAAAAATCTAACTTTCACTGAACAGCTCTTATGAGAAATGGAGTAGCCCACATCCCATTTTTACATTTAGCTTACTGGAATACAAAATGGAAAAGAAAATCCCAACATGGGAGAATTTGACAGTTTCTAACAAAGTTATATATGTATGTACTTCTGGGATAGTAAAATCTCACTTTCAAAAATCTGACTCAAAATGATGAAAATAGGTATATAGGAAATTATTCAGAGAAGCATTCTCATTATAGAAAAAGCTTAGGAATAAACCAAGTGTCTGCTGTAGGATAATGGATGAGTGACTCATGGCACACCCACACAGCAGAATACTATGCACAGGAATGATAATGACCATGAAAGGGAGTGCTTGTGCTTAATATTGTTTTGTAAATTTAGGATAATACAGCATTTAAATGAAGCAGGTTAGAGGAAAGACGTGTACATTATCTACAATCTGTATTTTACCTAGGTTTTTGTCAAGTGAGATGATACATTAAAACAACAGCAAGTTACCTATGA